AGAGCACCTCTAATTTACTCATAAAGTCTCTGTTTTGAATACTGTTTTTTTTTAAATCTCAACAGACATCCACAATTAATTTGAGACAATATTCTGCTCACAAGCTGTTGCCTCACAGACCAGAAATTATCTTTGTGATGTTTTCTCTCGTATAAAAAAACCCTAAACAGCTGTATTGTGAAAGTTCCTTGGATATATAATAGCTACTTTGTGAGATGTGGGATCTCTAATTTTTAAATAGGATTTTTACAGTGTAAGAGTGAATGTAAGATTTTTCTTCCTCCAGCATCTCACAGCTTAAAATCACTTGTCTGATAATTAGTAAAACAGTGCCAGATCTGCAGTCATAAAATTGGCTTTCTGCAAATTTTCTGTCTTGTTGCTTCAGAAGTATTTAGAACAAGACAATTAAGGAAATATCTAGAATAAAAAGGTATGCTGGTAAACAGCTATGGGTAAGAAAGTGCTAATTTAGACATTTCTCCCCTTGGTAAACTATTGTATATACATTAAGGAACATACCTAGACTGGCAATTTAACAGCTTTTAGCAATGTAGCCACGTGCTGTTTTGTACCCATTTGTCCTTCCAGCGCAGGTAATTAAGTTGATATTCCAACACAGCTTCCCCTACTGACCTTTTAGAAACGACGTGTTTTGCTGCATTAACAAATTAACTTCAAATCAGTGGCTTTTCCAGTAAATATGGTCTTTGTATAGTTTGAATATACTTGCTTATCCCGTTCTGGTGACAGATATTAACATCGAGATTAAAAATGAAGCTCTGGTAAAGGGCAGATAACTGTTACCTCCTGGTAGACCTCCACATCAGTTATCCTCACTGCCCTTTGCCTGTTCTTCGCTGTGCTTCACGACTCCGATTTGAGCCACACTGTTCCCCTGTCCGTATGTAATGGAGAGAACACGCTGCTGTGTGCTGACCCGCATGTAAACAGAACCGTGACAGGAGAGGAATCCCACCTCTGGTCTGTACATCGCTGCTTCTAGATTTTCCTTCAGGAACAGGGCATGTGTCTGTGGAACTATTCTCTTCAGACAGTTTTTATGTGGTAGGTCGCTTATCCGCCTGGAAGTCCCACTGTTGTCTTCTCACCTGAGTTTGCATTTCAGCTTGAAGCTCTTGGCTTATACATAAATATACAGGGTAATTTTTATTTTCACTTACATAGAACTAAAATGATACTAGCACAGCATGTGCCCTAGCATGTGCTTGTTCTATCCTTGGGAAAACGAGGGCATTCTGTCTGAAATCTTCCTATGATCTAGAGACAGAAAACACTTCCTCCTCTCCTTCCTTCCTTCCTTCCTTCCTTCTCCATCGAACTGAATTCTGCATTTCAGAACTTTGACCATAAAAGAGCCAGTTGAAACTTTTGCTGGAGCGTATCAGTCCTGCGGCTTGTATAGACTCACCTTGTGTATCGTGTCCTGTCCAGTGTCTTTCCACTTGCAGAGAAAAGTACCAGCTGTTCTGGAGGAGAAACAAGAAACTTTTCAGTAGGTAGATGCAGAACTTTAACTACTCACTGAGGAAAGCTGCTCAAGATGCTGATGCAACAGATGACAGAGAAAAAGCAGCTATCCATCCTTTCTTTCACTTGCAAATCTTGTGGCAAGGTCATGAATTTTAATGATGATTATTTTTTTTTTAAAGGTAGATCCATAAGGAGTTTAGATTATGACTCTTCAAAGCTATGGATTTATCAGTAATTTGTGGCTGGAATAAATTCCACCTGGAATTCAAGATGTCAGTCTGTGTGGCATTGATTTGTCATGTGATAACTTCAGTAAGAGAAGAGTTCAGTCAATGAAAAGTAAGTTTGGAAGAGCAGCAAGATGAATCAATGCTGATACCAGTAGAAAGCTTGGTAAAAAGGAGAGTGCTGGGAAGAGGTGACTGCTGGGGTGACATCACACTTGAGCTTATGGTTTTTAGATTTTGTTTAAAAAAAAAAAAGTCTATCTGAATTGCAAATAATCAAGTAAGGAAATATTTTTTTTAAAAATCTGTGTCACTTCACAATCCCCAAATAAAATGGAAGCTGAGGTCACCTCAATAAGTGTAGGTAACCCATATATATCTCATAAACCTTGAGAAATTCTGTCTTCAGTATACCTTGGTCCTGGAATTGAGGAATTAAATGAGAATCACAGCTTGTGTTAAAAAAAAAAAAAAAAAGTTTTTGACCCCCTTGAAATGAGAGAAGAATTGAGAGCAACATAGGCTTGCACTTACCACTCGGAGACGAGGAGAGAAAAACAAAGTTTATATAGGTTTGGATTCTAGGCTAACATCATGATGTTTCAAGGTCTGACTTGTAATTGTTGGTCAGTTAGGACTAAAAGGAGGAAAACATTAGTGCTGCGTGTGGTTTGCCTGCAGGCAAGGAGTATGCAGTGAGATGGTAGTTCTGCTGAACTGCACGTTGGACCGGAGAGTCTGATGCTCTTTCGTGTACTCTGACTTGTGTGCGATATCCTTCTGTTCACGTCAGTAATCCGGGTGCAAGGGGTCCCAGTACTGGTGACTCTTAACACAAAGCATAGTTTTCACATAACCCCCAAATATTGAAAAGTTTGGTTTATTGCCATTGTCTAGTCGAACGGTGATGTGGCAGATAATTAACAAATCCTGTCACACGGTTTCTCAGGGAAATAGTTTTCCTCCAGCAAGGATGTGGGTGGGAAGTACAGTTCAGTTGTACATGTCCTTGCAGTGACTATAATCGATGTATTGACTGTCTTGCTGGGGGGTAATCCTCAGCTACTGCCTTGTCTGTCTGTCTGTCTTCCTCTCTGAAGGGCCTGCTTTTTTCACACTTTTTTCAGAAGCTTAAATAATACTGCCACCGGTTCATCAGCTGATACTGATGATGCTGCAGTCTTGCAGTGTTTCCTCAACAATTACCCTGGCTTTTGCTATAGAAAGGAAGAACTGATTCCCAAATCAGAGATGACACTGCTAGCCATGGCTTTAGGAAAATACTTGAATTTCCCACCTAAATAACCTACCTGAGAATTTTCTAGTGTAGAAATGTTCACAGTTTCTAGGTAAGTAAAAAGAAAAAACAAAGACAAGTGTACAAGCAGGAGGCATAAAATTTTTTTTAAAAAATAAATTAATAATAATTACATCTTGTTTTTTCTGCCTCATTCAGTACTTTCCCTAAGTTGCTCAGTAGCAAGTGAATGCTTTTTCATAACTAGAAAAGTGAGAAATCCCAGATTTTTCAGCTGTTTCATTATGCTTCTGAAACATAATGGAAAATAAGTATGTTATGTTACGTGACAGAAATTAAATATATTGTAAGACTGTGCTCTTGGCCTGAGCAGGTAAGATGGGAAGGTACACGTCGGCATAACAGCTGCTGTGACTGAACTGAGTACTGCAAGGTACAGGAGAGAAACAGCTCAGTCAGGCTAACGGCACCCACCTCGGCCCGCCAGCCTGTCCTTTCTCTCTTTGTTCTCTTTGTTTTCATACTTGCTTTCTTGGAAATTACAGAGGAAAGCGATCCCATGGAATAATTTTGGCTCTCCATCCCAAGTGTCCTCTTTCTTTTTTTTCTTTTTTTTTTTTTTTTAATCTCATACACCCCAAAATGCTGAGCCAAGTATGTGTGTGCGCTCTGGCACTCCTTCGTTAACACGAGTAAGGAGGAATGAACCAATGGGTGCAAAAGTACAATATAATGGGAAATTTGACAGAAAATTCTGAAGAGATGCAATAAGAGAATGAAAATGGTGTGAAAAAGGGTAGGCTGGAGTTGTACTATTACACAGTGTGAGGGTAGTTGCGAGAGAATGTCAGTCTGAAGACTGCTAGTAAGAAGTTAAGACCTGCTGAGATGTGAATCTGGAATCTTTTTTGGAGAGAAATACAGTAATCTGCATACACTTTCTTTTTCTGTCTGAAGAAGCTGACTCCCACTGCCGGTTCCTACTCCCTCTCTGTACGGCGGATGGGTTTTTGTCAGCGGCAGGCACCGCGGGCTGGGGCAGTGGTGGTCTGGGGAGCAGCTGTCCGGAGACGTTCCCGTGCACTTCCCTCCTCAAGTGCTAATACGTGTGCACAAGCTGCCCCAGAACACTGAGAACACGATCACAGCTGAAGTTGTACTTTGGGGTGGTTTTATTTAGAATCTCGTTAATTGTCAGTGGATTCCTTGTCTAACAGACTATACCTTAAGATGCCATCTGTGTGAGGAGAGTCATGCTGCTGGCATAGTCAAAAGCAACTGCATTGGAATCGCTCCAGTGCTGTTACAAAGCAATGAGTTGGCCAACTGCTAATTTAAAAAATGAGACACCAAAATAGCCATCTTAGTGCACTGTTCTGTCTTCATTAGAACTGCTGGTGATGGGGCTTTTAGTTTTCTTTAGTCACTCTCATTAAAGTACGCACTTTGCGCAGTGCGTTTAAACCTTGAGGCAGTTCGGTATCTGAACGTGCTCACCTTTAAGTTTATGAAAAGTTTCGTTGACTTAAAGTTTTTTCCCCATGCTCCTAAATGTCTTTGCTGCTTTGAGGTCTTTACCGTGAGTTTTCACGAGTACTAAGATTACTCTTGAGATTTTTAGTGAAAGCTTTTTTTGGATATCGTGCCCTGCAGGATTCTTCCCATTTGCACAAATGTCGTCTGGAACATAGAGGTCCAGGAATCCACCTTGAGAGTCTTTGTCTCAGGAAATTTTGGATGACGGGGTCTGGGGTGCCGGTTGTGCTCCTTTTGGTTTAACAGAAGCTACGTTAGGCCTAGGACGACAGGCAGACAGAGCTACCCGTCCTGTTGTGGCACTTTGTAGGTTGTGAGATTTGTGACTGTTTTTAAAAACAAAAAAAAAGAAATCCTGCCTGTCGCGAGGTGAGTATGAAGTTAAGGTAAATCACGTGTTGTCATCCACTCATACTGCTTTTGCCACAAAAAATCAGACATGTTTTCATGTAGGTGACTTTAATTTAGTTTCCACTTTGATACAGCAGCACAGACTCCGTCCGCCTCGGCCACCGCCTCCAAAGATACAGCGCTCATCTAGGCCCGTGAGTAGCTGGTAGTTTTGTTTCACTGCCACAGCTTAACACTGCCTGAATTACGCTCTTAGTAGCATTACTAAACCTTGGTAGTTTGAATTGTCAAACTTTGTAAAAAAAAAAAATAAAATCAATGTGTGAATTATGCTCCTAAACTCCCTTCTTCTCTGCTGCGGCACAGCCCGGGGACCTGCATTTATTCTGCTTTTCTTTGCCGAGTTCTGCAGCTTTCAGTCAGTTCTTCAGGTAACTGATGCTGCTGTTGCAACGTTTGTTTTTACTTTTGCGGTGATTTCTTACACAAAAAAGTCTTGCTAGGCTGGCATAAGTTTTTAGCCAGTGAGTTTTTGAAGACTTGCACTAAACTCAAATATGAAAGGAAGCAGAAGTCTGAAGAGATTATTCTCTGCAAGTTACGCTTTAAATTTGGGATGCTTAATTTTTCTCCGTGGAATAGATGAGTGAATACACATGAAGGAAACAAAGTCTGGATTTGGGCAGTAGAACACTAGTACCACGTTATGGATCATATCCATATGTGCTTTATGTTCGTTTAAAATGCAAGCTGGGAACTCTGTAATTACAGAGTATAAAAAAATGCAGGCACAGCCTTTGGCCGGAGGAAGTGACTCTTCCACAGGAGAACCACACAGAACTCATTGTCGGTGCAACACCTGTACTGTGTGAGGCAGCGGTGCCTCATCGCAGCAGTTTCTCATTCAAAACATTAACTGTAGGACAGTGGTTACAGATCAGCTCTGCCAGATGGCTTTAGAACAGGAGACTGCTGGATCTGCACCAGCGATTTTTGGGTTTTTTAGTAGTACAGGAAAGTGGTATCAATTTAGAAGGGGTGTTGTTTTTTGCAACAGCCTTGGAAGGTATTTATTCAGGACTTTTGCTTTAGGAACATCGTTCCCCCGAAAGGCAAATACATCTTACTCCTTGCTTCCTTATACATACATGTACATGCATAAGAAAGAGAGAGATGCAAGTTTTCAAATCTAATCTTGCTAAAACTTGTTAAAAAAATACGTTTTGGATGAGCAGGCAGCTGGTTAACAAGTGCACTTGGGTGTGTGTTAACTTTTGATCTTCGGTGCATGTCCCTGTGTTATGTTTCAATAGCATGTGTTTCTTTTCCTCCCTCTTTTTAACTCCTGGGTGTTTAGCTTAACAGAGTCATTTTTCTGGATTGCTGCTCTGAAGATTTCTGTTTTCTGTGTTTGAAAGGTAGCATTGACGATACTGTTACGTGTTCTCTTACATGCAATTGATATGGGAGACCCTCCCAGACAGGTTACACTAGGAACGAACTTGCCGAGGCACTCTGGGGTTCCTGTCGTGCTTCCCAGCCCTCTTGTTTTGTGTTTGGCAGGTGTATGAGGGCACGATGTGATTCTTCTGTACGAAAGTTGCTGAACAGTCTTGTTCGGATTGAGTCATTTTTCACATCAAAGTCTCGCTGAGACTGTTTAATCTCCCAGCTGTAGTGCATTAATAGTCCTCACTATAATGTGTTTGTGTCAACTGTCTTTGCTCCCAATGTGATTGATAAAAGGTTGGAAATCTAATAATAAAAGCTCCTGTTGCATTCTGTGTCTATAAGTGGAGCAGAAAATGCTTCATTCATCAAGAGGAAATTCAAGATAAATGTAAATGATTATAATCACTCCCCAAAATATGCTTTGTACCAAATATACACACATTTGTTGTTCAGAACTGTTATTTGGCTTTTAATAATTGAAACACACATTAGTGTGTGTAAATAATACTTTATGCAGGCTGATTTTCCCTCTCTTAGTCTTGGCATATGTTACAGAGGTGGGTATCGGCAAGTAATTTCTCGTAGGCTTTTACAGGAAGCGCTGACGGAGGAGGCCAGGTCCCTCTGCTTTTCCAACCAAGTTCAACCTGAACTCCTGAGAAGGACTTACTGGTTTTAGGATATATCTGCTACAAGGGGGAATCCACGGGCACTAGTCCTTGCAATATGAGTCATTGCTGCTAATAAAAACAAAAACACAGAGCAAAGAAAGGTTAAGAAGCAGAACAGATACCTTCTTTACATTCTGCTGGTTTGGAAATGAGTTGTGGTGGTATTATGAAAGAGAGAGGGTTGTTACTTATAATTAATTGAGATCTGTTTGGGTTAATAGTGGCTGTTTGGAAACTTAATTCAATTAGAAACAGTTAAAATACAATAATTACACATGAAGTTGTTGGGGACAAACACATTTAACTCTTCTGTACTGGATGCTTACCTCTGTTCTTTTGCCCGTGTGCTCACGTAATTGTATTTTTTTGCATTTGATAAGCATTTAACCTTGCATATTTGGCTACATAAGGCTCAAAATCCGCCAAGGAATCGGCTTGATTCTTGGTTTTTTCCTGCAGTCCCCCACGGACAATCTCCAAATCCTACTTAGCATGTCACCCCAACTTCACTGGTGGCCCCCTGGAGCCATCCCGAGCTCTCCTCTCTCTGCCTCATCACCATCACTCCTCCAGGGTACCACCCGAAAGGTGAAAGTGTTCACAGCATGGTGACAAGCCAGCTTTTACACATCATCTTCCAGCTCAGATTTAATTAAACAGGTTTCTTTCTTCCTCTCTTTTTCTCTTCCTCCTTCTCGCTCTCTTCTCCCCCCAGTTCCTCTTGCTTCTCTCCCCCCTCTCTTGCACGCACTCGCTCTCTCTTGGTCTCTCTCTCTCTGTTTTATCAACTCTAATGAAGCAGTATTCTTCATCGATCCTGCTGATTGCCAGCCCATTCCTTTTGTTTGTTGGCACCGAGCCATTCAGCCGCACTCTGACAGCTCAGCTCGTCTAATTAGCTCTGTTGTTCTTTTCCCCATGTTTCACCACGTTGCAAGTTCAGTTGAAGTTGCCACAAACTTAATCCTTCCATTCCTGCCATAAATTCACATTCTTAAGCTGTCTTTATTGTAGAGAGGAGCAGCCTTGTGTGGGGACTGATCTTCGAGACCTTAACATCTGACCTTTTTATAAGCCCTTTTTCCTAAGAAATAGTGGCAATACATTTCTGGATTTCTTCATTATATCTGCTGTGCACCATTTCCTTTGAGATGAAAATTGAATGCTGTAGTCCAGCTACTATCTTCTGCATACTGTTGTGTAGTGCAGAAACACCACACACAATTCGGTGCCTTTTTTCCTGGCAGGAAAATTTGAGGTTTATGTGCCTGGAGGGAGAAGAAAAAAAAAACAAACCAAACCCAACTCATAACAAAAGCCCAGAAACCCTTCCCCCAACCCTCCCAAGAAATAATTAAAACCAAAAAACCCCAAACTAAGCAAACAAAAAATCAAAACAAAAACCAAAGGAAAAAAAAATGCAGATGTGGGGGGAAATCTATGTCTCTTCTATCACAGCAAGGAAATTCATTAGTTATCCAAAGAGGGCTTAGGTTGTAGGCCTTTAAAAGCTTCCTTTGTGTCGCGGCTATTAAGGGAGCACAAGCTCAGGGAGGTCAGAAGTTGAGTTGTGTTCCTAACTTCGAGGGCTTTGGGGATTTCTGTTGAAACTAGCATTCAGCTAAGCCAACGAATCAGGCTCCTTTTCAGGTGAGGTAGTACTTTCTCAACAAAAAATGGAAAGCGCCTTTGTACGGCCTGACCCTGATGCTGCAAATCTTCCTTCCCACATTTGACTCGGAGGGATAAGTTCATCACCAGGATTACTCACTAGCAGAGGTTGGCACATGCGTCAGCTTTGCTGCTGTGGTGATCACGAGTGCTTATTCCTCTCCTTGAAGTAAAGCTTGCTTGCTTGTGGTGTTAATGTGAGTAAACTAAGCTTGATTTCTGAACATTAGAAGGTGATGGATGTGTTATTTAAGATTGGATTGGCAGCAGCAGCATCTTCCACAGAAAAGCTTTAGATTTTATTCCAGACCACAAAAGGTAACATCATCGTGATAACAGCTAAAACAAAAGCTGACGTAACCTTAGGGGTGATAAGGATACTGTGTCTGGGAAGGGTTTCTGCTCAACTGCTGAAAGGAAGCACATTTTTAATAAAGAATGGGCGATGTTTTTTAACACGTTTATTCCAAGTACAAATTTTTCAGTGCTCCCTTACACAGAAGTCTTCACTTGAGAAGCTGGGTTCCTATGAACAAGAGGACAAAGGGATCATGATGTCAGAGCTGAACTCCACTGGCCAATATAATGTACAGCAACACACTGGATTTTCCCATTTTACTCTATCAACTAACTGTGTAAGGGGAAGCTCACGTTTAGGAAATCTTTTATCAGAAATTTAGCCTGTACCCAACAGGACAGTGGAACCAATTTTCATTGTTTTGCCAACAGCTAGCAGTCAGTGACAAGCATATATGTTCCATTTGCTATTCAAAAACACATGGGGTGTTTTTGTCCTTAAACAAGTTGTGGATCCTTGTAGTTTCTATTCAACTTTATATTCATTTGTATATCTATATTCATTTGTGACATCGTTGTGGCACAAAATTTAGATATTTAAAAGCAATTCAGAATGGAAGACACCTTTAAGAGAACAGTAATTATTCATATTTTGTTGTTTATGTCTGTTGTTTGATCAACTTGAAGTATTTGATGAAATGTCTGTGTGTGTATGTGTAATAGGTTCGCCCACCAAGACCTCACGTTGTTAAGAGACCCAAGAGCAATATTGCTGTGGAAGGACGAAGGACTTCAGTTTCTAGTCCAGAACAGTAAGTACTTTGCTGCTCTGCTTCTCTCTAGTTGCATCAACAGACAGTGTGTTCAAAACTGGAACTAGCCAAAGGAGAAATTACGAAATGCTACAATCAAAGTAATTTTTTAACCAACCACAAAAAAAAATTTTAAATTTTTTGAACATTTAGAGGAAGTGTGAAAAAGCGAGAAACCCAAGTTTACGTATTGGAAAATTCTGGTTCGCCAAGTTAGACGTAATCTGATCAGCCCATTTAGTGAAAGTTTTCAGGTTTTAGAGGTTTGTTCATTTCTCTGTTGAACTGGGCTTTAAATTAAATTGTTAGCCACATCCCTGCAAAACAACTATTCTTGCCAGACTTTACCTGGAAGGTACAGAATTGTTTGTGTTGTAGTGATGGCAGGAAGGGTTGTGTCTCCTGCTCGTTAGTCCCATTAACAGAAGGTCTGTAATGAGCTCTGTAGCGAAGGCTTGTAGAGCTTAACCGTCTCGCAGAGCGGTAGCAAATTTAGCATCTCTTTAGATTTGACTGTGAAGTAAACAGGGGTAATGTTCCAAAGAAGTTGTTCTGCTGTAGCCTACTGCTCACGTATGAAGTGTGTTGGTTTCCAACATTTCCTTTGTTCATATGAACAGTATATTCTGTTACCTTGGAGAGGTTTTCTCAGATAGTTTCATGAATGTCACGTATTAAAGTACTTTTTACAGAGAAGACAATACTGTGTATTGTTGCAGATATTAACACATTGCCATGGTTGAGTTAACCGTAGGCCATCAAGCGCAAACCTAAAAGGAGAATGGATATATGGAACTTCACCGGCGTAGCCCAAAAGACACTATTGTGTGTGACAAATATACATGTGGGCTGCATCAGTTTGCATTTTGGATTTAAAATTATTTGGACATGCAGCTACTTCAAGGGTTCAGCAGTACAAAAGACTCGAGCACTGAGTCCGGGTTGGATACAGAGGCTGGGCTTAGCTGCACTTGCTAAGGGCCCCAGTAAGCAGAATTTGGGAACCTTAAGAGCTCTGTCCTTTGCCTGGGGTGGTTGATCTTAGAAGAAGGTGGTGTGAAAAACGTGGCTAAAAGTAGGGCCGGACCTTCTTGGCGCCGCAGAGGAAGCGGCTGGGCGGCGGGGAGGGGAGAGCAGCAGCAGCGAACCCAGGTCATGTGCCAAAACTAAACTGGGCTTCCCCGCACGGAACGGCTTCGCTGCTCTCCGCGGGCAGCGAGTGGTGCGTTCGTGGCAGAGCGGCCTTGGCGCGGGAAGTGCTGGAACTGCTCGCAGGCTACAGGCAGGGACGGGGGCTGCAGGATGGCTGCTCGGCTCGGCTCTGCTCTGCTCTGCCCTGGCCCGGAGATTTCCTGGTGGCTCATCTCCACCTGCAGCACGGGCACCGCTCGTGTCGCAGCCGCTTCCCGTCGTCTGTTCATGTCCCAGCTTGTGGGGCTCTATTGTCAGGAGAGTGAAATGCTTTGCCTGATGGCCAGGATTACAGGGTATCTGTTGGATCTGAAGACACTAAAATCCCGTAAAAAGAACGATGGTTTGTTTCTTTAAACGCACCTTTCCCCCACATGTGTCCCAGTTCCCTGACACCACTCTTTATGAGGGAAAAAGAGGTGGAGGTTGAGCCCCCGCCATCCCCCCAAAGTTAAGTGCATGGCTAGCTTTTTCCCAGCCACTCTGGGATGGGGAGATATTCTGGCTTTTAGCTAAAATGAATGGTCACTTTGAAATTCTACAGGATTATCTATCCATTTTATAGTGGAATTTGGTTGCCCTCTTGTGGAGCAGATTGCAAATCCTCCAACAGGGCTTGTGCTGTTAGAGGGCGGGAGCTGTCCCTGCACAAAGATTATAGGGATTTTTAAAATAAAAGTTTTTTTCTTAATGTTCAGTATGATGACTCACTGCATGTGGATGAAGGATAGCTGAGTCAGTTTTAGCATTATGTGTGTTTCATGAGAGGGATTATGCATGTTTGGATTCAAAAGCTGCTTGACGTTCCAGTGTGGCTTACTGCTAATGTGTATGTTCAGTTCCTGCCAGCATCAGAACAGAAACAAATGTAAACATGACTGATAAACATAATATTTTTACCCATGCTAGTAATATATTGCATTACAATTATTATTTTACTTGGCTTAAATGTATTGCTCTTAGTGAGTCTTTACAATTCAGCTGCTTTCACAGAGTACACTACAAAAATTTTTTTGTGAAAATAATGGACAGTAATCTACAAAAGATAATGAAGATGCTTTGTAGCTACAGACTGATTTATTTTTCTTCAAGAGTGTTTTACTGATAGATTTTTTTTTTCCATCTTTTAAATGTGGAGGAAAACCAGGTAATGTTGCTGATACCACTGACACTTGCTCTGTGGTACCAGTTGTGGTCTCTTCCTGATGTTTCACAGCTTCGATATTTTATCCAGTTCAAACGCAGTGTCACAGCAGGATCTGATTATTTTCAGTCTTTCCTGTCATCAGCTTCAGGTGGCAAAACAAACTTTGACATAACCCCTTCCAGAGAGTTGACTGTAGAGCGCTGCACTCAGCCAGATCTCCTTAAGGTGTCTGGGTAGAGGGTTTTAATAGAACCCCGTTGGGGCAGCGTGGGAGACGGGACACAGGCCTCGCAGCGATGGTGAGACTGACACTACAGTTGTGATCTCGGAAGTACAAGTGGGGGAAATGCCTAACCTTGTACTTAAATAAAGCCCAAGTAAATGCCTACCTAAGAAATAACTTCAGGTGAATATTTTGGAAATAAGGGAATGACTCGATAATCCTGACCTTTTTCCTTACTATTTAACTCAAAATGACATTTTGAATGAAGAAAAGTATTTTTTTTTAAATAGTAATTAAAGGTAGGATTTTCATGACATTTTTCATAAACTCTCTTTTTCTGTCCAAGTAAGAAATAATCTTCCTATATTGTTCTCAAATGAAATCATAAAGCAAGGTGTTGTCTCTGTAAAAAAATGGCATTGTTTTCTCTCTCTTGGATAATAACAAAATGACTGAAAACACCACAATACATATTTTCACTCTTGTTCCTTGGTAGCGTGGGAGTGCCCTTCTTGCAGATCGGAGGAGATTCCATGGAAGCAGCAGCAGTGCTTTTCTCAAACCAAACCTTACCAAAATATTTGGCTTAACTGCACTGGTTCCAAACCTAAATATTAGCCCGTTAGTTCTTTAGAGGTGGGGGAATACATTTGTGAGGAGGAGTTTCTTTCTATATTTAAAACTAACACTAACTTTTTGGCCTTGAACGACTATGTGAGACGTTTCCCAGCACATCCAGCACATGGGCTCGGTCCGTGACTTCCGCAGCCTCCTCCCAGCCGGGGAGGTGGGATCCCCGGGGCAGCCCAGCACCCCGTTAACCCCCCTCACAGGGCGGCCTCTTCTCCCTTGGGGATGCCACACGTCAAACCAGTAGGTAGGGATGCTTTCAGTCGTTACATTTATTAGTGCACTCCCGATGCTATTAGGGAATTTGTATCTTCAGTTACATGAGTTAATTTTTTTTAACGTGTATAAAAGAAAAACATTGTTTTGGGGGTCTGTGTGCTCATTTTCTAATCAATCTTCAATTAAAACCTGGGAGGGCAGGAGCAGGGACTTCCAAGAACACCCAAGATTATTGCTCATGTCTGTTGTTACACCATTATATTTTGAAGAGCTGGCGGAAGAGCTGTTGTTTCCCCCCATCAAAATTTTCAGTGATTTTCTTTTTCCCCCTTTTTCAATAGAGATTTTTACGATTTATTAACAATTCAAGGTTTGTGATCCTTATGATTCTTAAAAATTTGTCATTCAATCTAAACCGTATAATTATTTTTTTAAAAAAACTTTTTTAGTTATAAGGTAACAGGAAGAATTTATAGATGAGAGCTCAGAAAATGCTGGATTACCACCTGCGGCCGTCCTAGACACGTGGGACATGCCTCCTTAAACACAAATTAGTTGTTCACTGAAATAAGATGTTGCATTTTAACAGATAGGCAGTTTTTTTGAGACCTCTCTTTTACACCACAGCAAGAGTTCCTATTAAATGTAGAATAGGCTTCCAGAGTGCTGTAGGATCTGTCTTCTGTAAGTACTCACTAGCTGGCTTCCAGGGCATGCAGAGTGGGAGGAAATTAAAATAGGAAATCAGAGGGTCAGGCTCACAATTAACAGCATGTCAAAAGGCTCTTGGGCTGGCTAAACCCATGTCAGTGCTGCAGCAGTTCATTACGGCTTTCCAGAAGCCGGGTAGGACTTAGTGAAGCTAATGGCTTTCCCTTATATCGTATGAATGAAAATAGGCTGCAGTGCAATAGTGGGTTATTACCCTGAATTTGGTATGAAGTCAGCGTGATGGCTGTGTTGAATGATACAGCCTCATAAAGCACATTAAATTCCGGTTGTTATAACCAGGCTCTCGGAGCTCTGCCACACAGAATTTGTGTATGGCAAAGGTTTTCCGTGGCATTCCCTGCAAGCAAGGGGCTCTGCTCTTCGGAAGCAAGCTAAGCCAGCACGTACCCACGGGGGGGGCTGGAATCCCAAAGCAAATAGACTGGCCGTGCCTGCTTCGGTTCCTCTACCCCGGGGAGGGCGGGCAGTACCCAGCTCCGTGGTACCGGGACGGCAGAGGGATGGCAAATGGGCAAAGAAACCTGCGGAGGAGAGCAGCCAGGTTTTGTGGCAGGTCTTGCCAGACAAGAGCTGTAGCACGAGGCAGGCAGGGCCGCCCTTTGGGAACCCCGCTCCTGGCTCTCCCACCTTTCCAGTAGGATGGTTTCAAAGAAACTTTCATTTTGGGGCCTGTTTCTGCTGTCTGCTTTGGAGTGAACCCACCGGACACACGCCGCTGGCCTGGGAAAGGGCTACGCCCGCTGCAGGGGCAGCCTTCGTACTGGCTCGGGGACAGAAATGTGAAATGGCCTTGTAGAATCTTGCCTCTAGACCTGTCAGAGCGGCAGAGGTGTCATCCAGCTTGTTCCCACTTTAAATTGTTTGCTTATATTTCCAACCCGCTAGAAAAATTGTAAAAAGTTCATAAAACCCCCCTGCAAAGCAACTGCTTTGGGTAACTAACTAGTTACCCGCCTCTACTGGGTGTAGTGATCGCAAGCTGTTGGTTTTGTTATCTGGTTGGATGACTCGTGATAGGATTTTTTTGTTGTTGTTTTAATTTAAAATATCCTTTAATGGTTTTGGGTTTTTTTGGTTTTCTGGAAATATTCTGCCCCTATGAACGTTCACAGTATGCAAAGTAAGCCTTTAAAAATCAAATAGATATTTTAATATTTCTGTTAGCTCACAGTTGGGTGTAGTGAGTATTCAGAAGATGCAGGAAGGAATTCCAGCGATAGGTCTGTGCTTTGTTCAGATTGAATAGTTACTAGGTAATCCCCTCAGTCCCGAGTCTCCTATTTCATACTGGCAAGAAAAAGCCCAGGCATCCAAATCCCTCATTCTCTTCATTTTACTGTCTAAGAGGGACAAATTCATTAATTCCCTAGAGATGCTGTATAGCTATTCCTTAAAAAAAAAGATACTAATTTTTAAAAAAGACTCAAATCTGGGAAGCCCTTTTTAGGAGAATTAATGACCACAAGTCCGTACTACCTCTTTGTGCCATAATCTCTATAATCAGGAAAAAAAGACAGTTAATAAAATACACACATTTAATTTTCTCGTAACCAAAATATCTTTTAAAATTATTACAGAATTCTCCTTATTAATTCCCATAACCTGTATTCACATTTTCTGTATATATTTTTTTCTATCTCAAGTACATTTAGGTGTCAATTAAATTTGAAATATCTACATTTGTCAGCATTTCATTTTTGGCCAGTGTGATGTGCTGCTGATTTGTCCATGCATCCTGACACATGAAAAAAGCTCCCGAGATGCAGATCTTCCTCATTAAAAAAGAAACCCATACTATCATAATGGTACGCAGAGCCATGGAGCGCATCCCCAGCTTTATTGCACCGTGTTTCTGACATGATATTTAAAAAGGAACAGCCACGGCTGTCAGTACTGTCATATGCTAGTGCTAACCGAAGACATGTTAAACTAAACATTAGAAAGAGATCAGCAAGTCATCTGCATGGTAACTCAGCTAAGAGATTAGGTAGGCAGGAGCTGGTGCAGTCATGTGGAGATGATGAGGGTTGTAGCTGTGACGGACACATCCTTTTTTCCCTCTAAGACTGCGGCAGTGCCTGCCTTGTAGCCGGGCTTGCTGTGACCTGCCTTTCAGAGACAGCTCTTTGTGTATGAAATCCGAGCAAGTGGTGGGTGGCAGACTGCAGGAGAGTTGCCGAATTGGGTTAATGAGGGAATACGCACTTTTTTTGGGGGGGGGGATTCTACTGCCTCAAGCTAATAAAAAATTTAAACTTGGACAATTTCAGATTGCTCATCCCTTATCTCGGACCAAATTCTCGTACAGAGCACGCCAACAGTGAAACTTAAGTGCTTGCTTTTTCCTCATTATGAGATTCCCCCTTTCATTTAAGGAGTCTTGCAGCAGCAGCAAACCCAAGCGCATGTTAACTTGCCGTATAGTTAATCGTACTTGCACTGAAGTGCAGCTGGTGATCCGGCCAACAAGATCCTATCTTATTTCTTCATAGTTCGTTCCCAGTTTATTTCATACGTGCACGCAGACACAAAGCATTTGGATTTAGCATCGTCTGGAGGCAAACAAAAGGTGTCGGAGGCAGTGCCTTAGGGGCAGCTGCGCCCATACATTTGTTATGTGCACTTACCAAATAGTCGGGGTGTCGGCGAGAGAAATGGAAATTCAACAGTGCTCTTGATTTCTGGAAATAATTGTCGATTTTCTGCAATCATACGAAATGATAATTTACTCTCCTAAGACAAAAAGACGTGTATGTAAATTCAAAAAAGGAATACTTTTGAAGTATCTTTGATTTCTGATTTATTTTAGGTGGAGCCTTTTATTGTAAGTTGATTTTTCATAGTAGTCACTTTCTTACAGCAAATTTTCCCTAATGCGGTGGCACCACCTCACTTTCCCTGGGTGCCTATTATAGCAGAAGAGAGGAAAAGCACAGCGATGCAACAGCTTTAATTGGAGTACCACAGACTATGATTTAACACTATCAGCTGCACCCACTGCCACCACTATTTTAGACTTTTTATTAATTAGCTCTGACCTGATTGCGAATAAACATTTATTCACAGTGGCAGCTCGGGCCCTCTTGAGCCGTCGGTTGCAGTGTCCAACTTCTCCTTTTCTGACCTAATCTTTTAGACTGATTTTCGTAACTTTATTATACAGTTATTTTGTGATTGAGACAAAAGAATGAAAGAGTGAAGGCTGATTATGAATTCAGGTGCCAGTAGAGGTAGTTTGTTAGTGCGTCTGTACCATAATGGCAACAAATCAGATGCTTTCTCTTTCTGTCCATTCTTCTGGTCCTGCTCTGATTTCGGCATATCCTCACCTGTAACGTGCATCGTGGTGTGATACGTTTGCATGGCGCTGCGATGCCTACGGGACCCGGTCGTGTGCTTTGTTCCACATGATGAGCCCTGATACTCCTGACACTGAAATAATCAATTCCGTTCTGGACCACAGTAGTAGCAAAGCCAGGCTCCCCATCCCATATTGCTTTGTGTCAGTCACGATGCAGGGTTTGATTTGCTGCGATAACCAGGATATTATCAGTCATACGTGGTTGGCAAAATGAAGATGTTTGGGAAGAGAGCTCATTTGGATGGCTAGAAACAATGTTTGCTTTTATGATCCTAGTGATTTCTTTCCCCTTGTAGTGATGTGGGGAAGATAAAAGAGCTCTGTAAGTGATGCTCTCCAGCAGCATCCATCAGGGTTCACCCGCCTGTTGTTTGGCCCATAAGACACACAAAGGTGGTTTATAAATGCCCTTGAAAAGAGTTTTTCTTGGGTTTTTTTCATTTGCACTCATGCACACTTAGATGCGCCAGAACGGAACTGAAATGGGGAAAATAAATAAGAAACCATAAATAACTATTAAAAATTCAGTTTTATTATAAGCACATATAGTTTTGGAGGTTCTACAGAACGTTGTCCTCAAGTTGTAGCAGATTGAAAGGCACTGGGCTGTGGTGAAGAGCCTTCTGGTTAGTACTGGTAAATCTTGATGTGCTTTTACTGCTTTCACTTAATTGTGAAGCACTTGACTTAATATTTAATTTGTGAGAATATATTCTCTATAAGCTGTTGTGCCATCCAGAGCTTCAGTGCTTCAGAGAGGAATGAGCAGTGGCCTTTGCTTCGTACTTTCCTAAAGATCAGGATATTTTAGCATTACAAATGAGACAGTATTTGCTATTAATTTGTTCATACTCATCAACCTCTCTGTTCCAGTGTATTTCTGCTTAAGTACCCTGCTCCTGTACTCTCTCCTCTTCTGCTAAAGCTGATAGTGTGTTTAGTCATTTAAAGCAGTGATAGGCACTTCTGCATTTGCTCCAGTGGAAACTCTGAATCTTAGAAGCTTCTACTTCATGCAGGAAAGAGTAATTGACTGGGGTTTTGCTTCAAATGAATTGAAGCAACTGATAGCTAGAATAAATAACAGGGAAAAAAAATATCATAAATTCAGCAAGCTTTGAATATTTTACTCCCCCAACCAGTCAGTGTTTACCCAGACCTCTGTAGGCATGCACAGGTCGTTTTACATTCCAAAATTTAGCCACTGTTGTCTTCAGGTACAAGAGCAAATCCCGGGGATCTGACCTCTTTGTATAAAGTAAAGGTGACCAACACATTCTTGTCAAAACCTGGTGAAATGTGCGTGGTGGTGATTGGGGGTTGGTGTGTTTGGTTTAGGGTTTGGGGTTTTTTTAAATTACAGCTGAAGTTTGTTTCCAGAGGCACTTCTGATTTTAAGAATCTGAAAAGATTTTTGTTCCAGGCTGCTGCTAACGAATTCGTAGATTGATAGTTACCGTCCTGTGATGCAGGAGAAATTAGCTAGAGCCCCTTTTCTGCCAGGCTTTGGAAGCAGCTAACCACCAAGGAAAGAAACACATACACCTTACTTGACAAACTGCATTTCGTGTCAGTCCTTGGACGTTTGTGTTTTTATTCTAGTGTGAAGCAATTTCAGATCTCAAAAATAGCTACACGTAGGAATTGTTACCCTCGAGTTGGCTCCTCTCGTATATCAGCCTAAAGTCAGTCTCCATAAAGCAGGGAGGTAGATCTAATATTTGTTTGCTTGTAGTCAGAGATTAGAGAATCTGAGGAGCAAAAATGTATTTCTGAAGAACAAAAAGATGCCCAACTCTCTAGAAAACGTAGCAGGGAAGAGGTGGGTTTCTGTGTTGGCTGCTTTGGCAGTGTGGGTGTGACGGCGGGTTTTAGTACCCTTCCTGGTGGCACCCGGGACGTTTTTAGAAGAGTTGTACTCTTTGCCTGGCAAGTGGAGCTGAACGTTTACCTGCTGAGCTGTGTGCCGGGGCGGCCAGGCATGTTCAGAAATGATTTAGAGCCTGCGAATCGCTTGGTTTCTCTCTCCTCTGGACCTCTGAATGTGACAACTTGGTAACCTCCTTTTCTCTTCCTGTTTCCCTCAGCCTTGTAAAGCCCATGCGACACTATACAGTCTTCCTCTCTGAGGACTCTTCTGATGATGAATTTCAGCAGGAAGAGGATCCTGTCTCTGGCTTCTCTGAAAACTTTTTCTTCTCTGCTCCTTTTGAATGGTCTATCCTTTATTCTCGCATTGTGTTAATTCAGTCTTCAAACGACGGGGTCTGCATTGGTCAGGGTGCCTGCTCCTGTCCTTGGCATTTTGGAGATGCTCCTGCAGTCTCTGCACGGCGCTTGGTGAATGTGCAGCGTTCCTCCTGCTTGTTTTGGTATTAGCAGCATGCCAGAGCCTGCTCCTGCATGACCCACGGCGCAGCAATGCCCAGCTCACGGTTCACATCGGCTCGAGCTCTGGGGGGTGTCGCCCTTCCAGCTGCCCTTTGTTCCAATGTGCTGCTTGTGTTCCTGTCCCAACCTTCTGCCGTTCTGCCCTGTGCAGTGCTAGCTGTGCTTTTTGGACTGTCCTGTGAGCCTTATTTCAGTGCAGTTATTGGCTTTTTCTGGTTTCACTTGCTTGATCCCAACCTCTCTGTTCTGCCAGGTACCAGATCCTCGGTGACGATGGGGAATCACCACGCAGGTGTCCTCCCAGGGCTTTGAGTACAGTCTCTGCTAAAACTATACGAGAAACAGGAAACAGTTTGTTGGGTTTATTCACTGTGTTATTTGTATCCAACTTTTTAATTTGTAAATTGTTGTAAATTCCCAAACCTCTCTAAGTCAGTCCTGCCTAGTTCCGGAACACGGTGCTGAGCAGCTGGGCCACACCGCAGCGACCAGCCTGGGAGAACTGCAGGTTTAAGCACCAGCTGCAGGCTCCTGCCACAGCCCAAGGTTTCCCTGTCAGGGGAGCGGGTGTTGCCTCTGGGCTTCTGCTCACCCTCAGCAGCCTGAGTGCTCCTGGTTGAGAGGGGAGTAGCCCTGTCCCATGGAGGGGGCACACTGGGTGCCTCTCGCTGCTTATCTGAGCATAAACCAGCCCCGCATGGCAGGCTAGAGCTAAGGCCTCACTCGGTGTCATCCAGAGGATTTCTTCTTTCCCAGCCTCACCTGCTTGAGGATTTCTGGGGGGAGAAAGGGAGATAAATTGCACGGAATTACCCTCGTTCTTTTAACAAATGCAGTTACTGGCTTGAGCAGAGCCTGTAGGAAGAGGTGTCAGGCTGCTGTGAGCTGCTGCTTCAGAAATCCACATGATGCCAGATCTGGGGGGCTCTGGGTGCTGGGGGGGTGATGCCCAGCCAGTCTGAGCAGCGCGGGCCGGAGGGGCGCCTGCAGGTGGACAGTGGGGCCTCCAGTTGCTGAAGCTGGCCGTGTGTGTGTTACAGAAGGAAGCTCAGAGACTGACAGGGAGGGGACGTGGCTGCAGGGCCCAGCGAGATGGACGTACGGGTTCGGTAGCAAAGGGCCAGGAAAAAATCTTCCCACCCTCTTGTGTTTGGGGTGAAGGAGACCAGGCTGCTAAAATGGTTGGTTTGCAGAATATTCCCCGTGGGTTTTCTGCAGTATGATGTAGTGCTTAGGTGAGCACAGAGAATGCGAGAGACTAAAGATACGACCGGGATTTGCCAGATCACCCTCTTCCTAAGGACATGTACCATCAGCTGTCTGCTTGTACTTGTGTTACTACACTGGTGCTGCTGGCTGAATGCTGCTGTTCATGTGGTGATGAACGAAGTTGGATGGGCTGTTTATAAATTTGCATGATATAGATGTAATTATAATAAAATACGGAAAGAGGAGGAGGCTTCTTCCACAGTATCTGTTTCTGCAGGTCTCACAAATATTTTCTTTTAATTGAAACCTTGTTTAAATGCCACAGTAAAACTGGCTGCCAGTCAAACGCCAATCACCACAGACACGTATGGCACTTCTTGTTATTAATTGGATGCGCATTATGCTGCTGTTCTCTGTACACAGAACCAATATGCAAATCTGCTGGTGTTCATTTTTTTTGCTGAGGTATGTGCAAGGAAAGCATCCTGCTAACTCGGCCTTGGCTGTAAATGTAAAATAGGTGTCTCCATAATGGATTGTGTTGTTTCTTGATAAGATGACACCAATGTAATCATTGGAACTCTGCACAGCATTCCCAATTATTGCAGGAAAACACTGAACTATGTTCTGTGCTGAGTTAGCTTGAAGCAAGAGAATGTGCGTGCCTGCACGACCCAGGGCCCTGCAGCCCGCTCGCTCTGACCTGTCGGGGAAGGGCCGAGCACCGCAGAGCTCTGCCGGAGGGGCAGGGCCGGGCTGTCCGCGCCGAGAGCCAGCGAGAGTTCCCTCATCTGCAGGTGCCTGAGCTCCGCTTTCCTCCCAGCACTCCCCTCTTACATCTTTTTCCTTCCTGAAATCAGCCCTCGAGTGAAGAGTCATCTTTGTATGTCCTCCTGCCCTCGGTCACTTTGCTCACACTCCTGCTGCTCACAAGGCGCAAAAATGTGTTTTGCCACCCACAAGCTTTGTGTAAAGCCATCCAGCTCCTTCCTAAATACGTGTTTAAAAAAAATAATTAGACAGTCAATTGCAACGTGATTTTTGTTTCTCTCCTAGGCCTCAGCCATACCGGGCCCTGAAGGAATCTGATAGTGCTGATGGGGAAGAGGCAATCAGTCCAGAAAAATCAAAAGAGCCTCTGCCTCCGAGCCCTCTGCTCTCGAGCAAGGCCACAGAAATCAACCTCCTTGAAGACATTTTCCCTAACTTAGAAGTAGAAACACAGCCTCAGCCTCTCAGCCAAGCCAAGAGCCTGGAAGACCTGCGGACTCCCAAGGAAGAGAGCGCTCAGCGCTGCACGTTTGACTACCAGGTTTGGAGCGGGGCCCGTGTACGCTGGGGGGCTCGCTCAGAACTGGGGCTGGCTTCCATCCCTGGCTGAGGAACATCTGCACATCATGGGCAGATACAGCCGTTCTCCAGGCATTTGTTCATGGGTTTCAAAATTCATTTCCGAATTACGAAATTGCTGGAGTGGGACTCGGCTGTAAGACAGTAACATTTTCCACCAGAACTACAGCCTTTACTTCTAGAGGAAGAAATATTTGCCCTGTTCCTCAGAATCTGTTTTGTCCGTTGGCTGTCACGCACTGTTATCTTTGAAGCTGATGCTCAGCAGTGAGAGGGGACACCTGGGAATTCTCAGGTCCCCTCCAAACTGCGTGGTTTTTAAATGACCACCTTCTAATCTGGCCATTTTGGTTGAGGCATCATTTGAACTGTCTAGATTGTAGAAGAGAGATTCTTTCTGAAGACCTTCACTGAATATGTGCAGCTTAGAAAGTGCCAAACTAAAGCAGACTGAAATTTTCATGTGACGTGAAAGAAAAGAAAGTCATTTCTACCTAATAATAATATTTAATTTAGTGTTATAGCCAGATACTTCATTTGACAGCTTTTTTCATACAGCAATTAAGGCTTCTCAATTTCTGTACCTTAGATATAGGTACGTGCTCCTTACTTGGCTAACGACAGATGCCACAATATGTCACAGCTGAGTAACTCATTAGAGGCAGAGCTGGAATTAAAACTGCAGAGTCCTGCTTCTGATTTCCTGCCTGTCCTTCCAGGCTGTGTGCTCCTGCCCCTCTCCGGCGTTCACAGTCCGGGGCAGATCCTCCTCCACTCGCAGCTCGGCAGCCTCCCTTCGCTTTAGGCTCTATGTTGTGAGGAGATCGGTAAAAAATTAACATTTTGTTTTCAAATGTTTTCTTGCAGAGAATGGATCTTGGTGTGTCTGAGAGGAACAGGATCGTGCCAACCATGAAGCTGTCTCACCCTTACAACAAGCTGTGGAGCATGGGTCACGACGACATGGCTATTCCTACCAAGTACGCGCAGAGCTCGCCGGAGAGGCCCCTGGCTGCTCTCGGGAACACGCCGCTGATCACACGGAGACCCCGGAGCAGAGACAGTGGTCTGGCTCCTGCGGAAAAGGAGGACTCGAACCCTGCTGTCCAAGGGAACATCACCATTCCCAGGCCACAGGGGAGGAAGACTCCAGAGCTGGGGATAGTGCCACCGCCACCAGCTCCCAGGGCTTCCAAGCACCAGGCTCCAGCTGGGCCAACAGAAATTCTCACCACCCAGGCTACAGGACGGAGCCATTTGGTTTCAGATCTTATCCCAGAGCCCTTTGGGGTTGGCAGTGTGTCCTTAGACCCTGAAATCCAGCAGTCTGTAAATTACTCCTCTCGCCCGTCTCAGCTTTTGTCCAGTGCCTCCAGCACTGCTGAGATGCTCCAGCCTGTCAAGGTGAAGACGGAGAACACAGGTAATGAAAGCGACTACCTTCTTAATCTCCTGGATCCACTGAAAACAGCCAGCTGGCAAAGCAGCGGCCCGCAGCAAGGTCCCTGCAGCCTGCAGAGCTCAGCCACCCCGCCTTCAGCAGCTGGCTTTGTCTCGGTGGCAAGTGACTTTGTGCCTCCTCCCCAGGCTGCACCATTTGTCCAGGCACTTGGTTATCCTTCCCCCGCACCATCACCTTTTCTACAGCCATCTCCTAACCCATTCACACAGACAGTGCCAGGAGCCCTTTCCGTGTCACTGGTCAGAGCCCCGAGGGGCTCCTTCACCCCCTCTTTAGGTCACGCTTACAGCTCTAGCTTCATAACACCTAATTCTAGCTTCTACCCACCACAGCGACCTCAGCCAAACATTTCGACCCTCTCCATGCCCAACTTGTTCAGCCAGGCTCCGACCGTGCCGCCGGGCGGCTCCTTACTGCTGCAGAGCCACAGCCCTTCCCCCACCAGCCCCCTGCAGCCAGGAGGCTTCGGCACGAGAACCAGAACGTTACGGGTGGGCCAGGCCAGCGCAAAGGTAGATCCCAAACAGGCACTAGCTCTCCTGTCCCATGAACCCCCTCTGATCCCTTCCAGGCCAGCTAAGGGCTTAGAGTCAGTGTTACTGTCCTCAAAATCTGAGGAGACAAAAGATCCATTTGAAGATTTGTTAAAAAAAACAAAGCAAGACGTGTCATCCACAGCGGGTAAGGTTGAACAGCTCAGAAAGCGATGGGAAACCTTTGAGTAACGCTCCCAATGGCCTTTTGATGTCCCTTTGGAATGGACAGAGGGTTGTTTTGTTTTTTTGAGCCAGCATAAAACCAAGCATTTTTTTAATGGAAGGCTGAGCCAGGATAGCTGCAGGACCATCACCGTGCTGCAATTCACACACGAGTGCTTTTTGCCCAGAGTTCAGAGTCCCCCCATTGTCCCTGCGGCTGCTTCCTCACGCTCCACTGCTGGAAGCCCCCAGGACTCCTGCACTGACCAAAGCACGAGGTGGGTTGGGGTTGGGGGGGGGTTCCCACACACACAGCTTCTCAGACAGTACTACTGATGCAAAGTTACTCCTTCCCTGGCATTTGCAGCCCTTGGTGCAGCGGGAGCATGGCACGCTGCACTAGTGGTTTTGCTTTTCCTTGTGTTACACCCGTAGCTGTAATATTTTGCTCCCACACGTGAAGTGCAGCAAACAGACCCCGACGTGTGGGCTGCGCTGAAGTGTAGCCCCTTAGGCTCTGAGCTTGTCCTGCCCCGACAGGGGGCCAGGCATCGGGGTTACGCTGTTGGATGAGCTTTTGTTGCGGATTTCCCACATCCCTCCCCAGTACACTGACACGGAGAGGTGGCAGAGACCTCGCCGGTGCAGAAGTGTCATGAGTCCTTGTTGCAACAAAACCACAGCACAGAGCAGTTGCTCAGGGTTTGGTCCTGCATCTCTGTTGGGAAACTGGAAACACCAGCAAATGTTTTTCCGTTTGGGGTTTTTGTTTATTGTCTGGGTTTTTTTGTTAAATACACCAGAAAATGGAGGCCATAAAGAGTATCCTAGTTCTTATATATGTGTATGTTAATATTATGTATAAATATTATAAATGGCAGTACACGAATGGGATGTAACAATATCTAACTTGATTATTAGGCGAAAAAAGAGAAAAAATTTGGGTACAAAAGTTCCCGGGTGAGGCGTTGGAGCAGCAGCCGGGGTTTCCTCAGCCCTGGGAACAGCTGCCCATACCGCGGGGGGCAGGAGCCGCTGTGGGCGCAGCAGGACCCGGCCCGCACCGACACGGACTGTGGGGTCCTGACGTGCCCACAGGCGAGAAGAGGGTCAAGGGTACGTTCATCGGGATTGTCTAAGACACTTGTCTGTGGCAATAGGAGCTCAAGAAATTTCATCTTTATCTTAGCATCCCATATAAATCCTGCTGTCTTCGCAGTGATCGTTTCTGTTTTACATAAGTGGTGCTTTTTTGTTTCGTGTTTGGGCACAATCTGATGTAAAACGTTACTCTAGAAGAGGTAATCACGTCACCATTAAGCCTTTGATAAAGGAAATCATTTTGGACACGTGGGGAGATTCTTGTAAAGCTTTATCTGATTTCCAATGTATCTATTTTATTCATATAATCTTGGAAGTTTTCTTACTCTAGTGTATGGAAATGGCTGTCTATGCGTTTGAGTCTGTGCAATACAAAAGAAAAATAATATCTGAAATGCCAACAGTTTGGGAAAGACCATAGTATTACGTTAATATTCTATTTCTGTGAAGTACTGTTACTCTGAGAAGCCATTCAGTTGGATTTGTATTTTCCTTTTTTTGTGTTGGAAGACAGATTGTTTTAGTATTGCATAGTAAAATATTTAAAGTCTAAGATAATAGTTCCACTTTATTTTATATAGTTCAGAATGTGAACATCATAAATTCAGTCTGGAATTTCAGGTCTCCTTTGCTATGAGCTAGATGATAAAACTTTCTCGATTATGGTGGATGTGTACAGGCAGCAGAACGTTCTGCATGTGACATGCCATTTGAATTTCACGTACTCTTTTTTAAAATTTTTTAATGTCGCACACTGATTATATACTGCGTAGACCTATTACACGTGCTTAACTAAATAGGAAAATGCTCAGGTAATTCTGTTTGACTGCAGCTCTTTTTCCATCTCTGGTTATTTTATTCTGCCCATATTATGCAATATTTCCTGCAGTTGATTTTTAGACAAACAAGCACTCTTGGATTTTTTTTTTTAAATTTTTTTTTTTTTTGAGGCACTGAAAAGTATTAACACTTAACAGAAATGGCATTAATCACCCTTCACTTTAAGATCTCACACCTCTGAGATCCAGGCAGTGCTCCTGGAGTTGGGACCTTCCTAACTTCTCAAATAGAATTTGCAAGCAGGAGACTGGTTTACGTGCTGCTTGTAATAAAGGAATCAAACTCTCCCTAGGGCAGTACTTAGTTTTTTTTTGTCTTGTTTAAACTCAGGAATTCCTAAGATGATTTATTCCTAATAGTGCCACATGTAAACAAAGTGTGCTTGTCTGGGAGCGCGAGCTTGGATGTCAGACGTTTCTTTTGCTGATGTAGAAGCGTTTTGATGTTTATACTAATCTGGTACAAGAAGTGTTCCTGATATTATTCATTTATATTCCGCTTTGTACATTTTCCTGTACTCGCTGTACTTGTTTGCTTGTTCGGTACCGCTCTGCTTATTTACAGATGCTTTCTGCCATTAGAAGTAACTTTTATTTAAAAGAAAAAAAACTCAAAATCTCTTTTACGTTTCTGATGCTGTACAGGTGGTAAAATCATTTTTCTATCTCGTTCACTCATTAGGTTACAAATAGTTTATAGACACTGGAAGTGGAAGCTGTGGGGGCACAGGACTGTGTGGCTGAAGACCCTTCTCTCCCTTACATACACGTGTTAATGACGAGGCTTGTGAGGTCTCTGCACAGAGTAGGGATTTTTTTTTTTTTTTAACGTCCAGTATTTCTGGGCTCTAACCTCAGTCTTGATTGCTGCAGCTTTGCCCGTAAAATAAGGGATTAATGGCAAAATGTCACAGCACAGGTGAACAGAAGGTGCAGCAGGTTTTGCAACTCCCCTTCCGTGTTCCTGCAGCGGATCCTTACTGTGCAGATCAGCTTGGGTCAGGTCTCTGCTTAAGAGCTGTGGTGTGTGGCAAATAAAAGCAATCAGCAAAGTCATAAAATTGTAACTGTAGAAGAGACATTAAGGTTTGAAGCTGTACAAACTGTGACAGCCCAGAATTGGCCAACTAAATGTCGAGTTACTCTTCAGAAAAAAGAAAACGATCAATCACAAGCCAAGGTAACCAAGTCTATTTTTAACCAAATTTTATTGTAAATTTCTTTTGAAGGACATTCTAATTTTTTACAAATTACAAAATTTACAATTACAAAAGAAATCATGATCATTAACTACAGCAAACCCAGTTTTGTGAAAAAATATATTCAAAAATTAAATATCAAAAGAAAGTTAAGTTCATTATTGGAAAAAAAAAAAACAACCTTTCATAAATTATTTTGCAGAAATGCTCAAGACACTGACACAGTATTTTAACACTTTTGCTAGTACTGGCTTTGGGTGCTTGAAATAAAAACATCTGCTCTGCTACTCCTGGGCCGGGGCAGAGCCGGAGCGTCCAGCAGCCGCAGACAGACTCGCTGCTTGCAACGTGCTGGGTTTAGATGTCTTTACTGCTGGGGGGAGCGGGGGGGGAGTGGTGTAGCTTCTTGTTGCCTTTCAGGATATTTCAGTAGCTTAGTAATAGTGCTTGTAACACAGTTCTGGTTTTCTTCTCAAAATCATACAGGCTGGAGTATTACTGGTTCATTTAGACCCTGTTGCTGCCTTCATTCTTCTACAATTTAACGATAAAAGATGGACGGGAGCTGCCTCTCCTGGCAGCGACCTGGAGGTTAATCAGGGCTGAGTTGTCAGAAACCCGAAGCATATTCTAAGCTGCCTCCAGGTTGGTTCGGGGTCATTATGGGATGAAGAACA